ACTATATATTCTTCGGTACCATTTAAGTTTTAATGACATGTACATGTATCATCTATTGAAAAATAAAATTTTAAGTAAATAATGAGAGGAAATAAAAGAGCAGAGATAGAGAAATATATTAGAGCATATTTAAGACAGAAGTATTATAATTTAATTAGAACATAGAATAAATGTAAGAAAAAAGTAGGAGTTACAGTTTAAGATGCAGTTGGGAGATTATGGAATCTCTTAAATGCTTGGTAAAGAGATATTGTTTGGGCTTTATTCAGCAAACAAATGGACATTCATTAAGAGTTTTTGAACGAGAAAAACATGATGAAGTTGTGCTTGAAGAAGTGTAATTTTGTAGGTGCAGTGCAGACTGGAATGGAAGAGTTAGAGACCCTGGAGCAGTTTTAGCTCCTGGAGAAATCTAGCTGAGAAGGATAAAAGCCTATAGGACTAGGCAGAAAATAATCCATGATAGGGTGTTATAAGGCGCGGTGGCTCATGCCTGTAATCCCAGCACTTTGGGAGGCCAAGGCGGGTAGATCACCTGAGGTCAGGAGTTTGAGACCAGCCTGACGAACATGGTGAAACCTCATCTCTACTAAAAATACAAGAACTAGCTGGACGTGATGGTGCGTGCCTGTAATCCTAGCTACTGGGGAGGTTCAGGCACGAGAATCGCTTGAACCCAGGAGGCGGAGGTTGCAGTGAGCCGAGATGGTGCCACTGCACTCCAGCCTGGGCGGCAGAGCAAGACTCCGTCTCAAAAAAAAAAAAAAAAAAAAAAAACCAACAAAAAAGGCATTTCCAGTATTTGGAGACTGACTACATGATTTTGGAATAAGGAAGATTAGAAGAAACATTACGGTTGGGGTCTTTGAGGATCTCTTCAGAAGAAACTGGGACATTGGGAAGAAAACCTGGATTGATTTCTTTAATTAATTAATTAATTAATTAATTTTTTTTGGTATTTGTTAGCCAAGATATCAAGGTGGGTTTGGGACTTAATGAGTTTGGAGGGCTGATAACCTTAAAATATTGGCTAAATCCTAGGTGAGACATTAATAGTAAAACAAGTACAGAATAATGATAGCATTCATATTATTGATGATTATAAAAGTAGATATATCTGCTGTACAATATTGTGCCTATAGTTAACAATACTGTATTGTGCACTTAAAATTTTGTTAAAAGGGCAGATCTTATGCTCTTTCTAAAATTAAAAAAAAAAAAAAGTAGAGAAGCTTTTTAAATTTAATTGAAAAAAAATTTTTTTTTGAGACGGAGTCTTGCTCTGCTGCCCAGGCTAGAGTGCAGTAGTGTGATCTTGGCTCAATGCAACCTCTGCCTCCCGCGTTCAAGCAATTCTCCTGCCTCAGCCTTCCAAGCAGCTGGGACTACAGGCGTGCACCACCATGCCTGTGTAATTTTTGTATTTTTAGTAGAGACAGAGTTTTGACAGGTTGGCCAGGCTGGTCTTGAACTTCTGACCTCAGGTGATCCGCCTGCCTCAGCCTCTCAAAGTGCTGCGATTATAGGGGTGAGCCACTGCACCTGGCTGAAAGGATTTTTTTTTTAAAGGTGATCATTGGTCTTAGGTTTGTAGATGATGAGTTTTCCTAACGATTCTGGAGTTCCTTAGTCCCTCTCTTAGGAACTAACCTTCAAACACTTCCTTATTACTGAAATTAGAATTATACATCTTAACAGTGGATCTGTAAACATTTAAGGCATGGAGAACAAAAGCTGTTTCACAAATATCATGGTGAATACAGTGAAGAGGGTCTATACAGATTTCTTAAGTTATCTGAGTAGCATAATTCATTACAAATGTAAAAGAAGTCTAATGATGACTAGTACACTGTTAGTGACATGAAAACCCATCAAAACATGTCAAAATTGAATAATGTCATTTCAAAATCACTGATGTAAAATCACTGGGTCCATTTTTAGGCTTTTCTTCAGAAAATTTAATTCTTCACATGTAAGGGAGACAATAGATGAGGATGAAGATGTGCGGGCTGAGAGATTAAGAGTTGAGAGCGGTGCGGCTGAATTTGACTTGGTCCAACTTTATCGTCTCACGAAGACCTACCAACTTATCCACAAAAAGATTATAGCTGTAAACAACATCAGCATTGGGATACCTGCTGGAGAGGTAAGAAACTGTGTTTTGTTTCTAACTGTCCTTTTCATTGGCATACTGTGTGACAAATTAAAATCTTAATTATTGGCCAGGCACAGTGGCTCATGTAATCTTAGCACTTTGGGAGGCCAAGGTGGGCGGATCACTTGAGGTCAGGAGTTTGAGATCAGCCTGGTCAATGTGGTGAAACCACATCTCTACTAAAAATATAAAAATTAGCTAGGCATGGTGGTGCACGTCTGTAGTTCCAGCTACTCGGGGGGCTGAGGTACGAGAATCACTTGAACCTGGGAGGTGGAGGCTGCAGTGAGCTGAGATTGTACCACTGCACTCCAGCTTGGGTGACAGAGTGATTCTGCCTCAAAAGAAGAAAGAAAAAAATCTTAATTATTTTTCCATAATTTTTTTCTAGAAATATAAAAGTTAATCTGAATATTTCCCTGGGAAAAAATACACACATGCATATAGATACACATATACATACACATATATATGTATATGTATACACATATAGAGTCATCCCTCCATATCCATGGGAGATTGGTTCCAGGACCCCCAAGGATATCAAAATCCACAGAAATCCACAGATGTTCAAGTCCCTGATATAAAATAATGTAGTACTGCATATAATCTATGCACATCCCACTGTATACTTTAAGTAATCTCTAGATTACTTACAATACCCAATGCAATGTAAATGCTATGTAAATAGTAGTTATAGTGTATTGTTTAGGGAATAAGAACATAGGAACTCTGTACACGTTCAGTACAGATGCTTTGTTCCCCACTGAATATTTTCAATCCATAGTTGGTTGGATCTAAAGGTTAGAAACCCAGGGATAAGGAGGGCTGACTGTGTATATAATTTACATATGTCCAGGTATTAGGTTGGTGCCAAAGTTAATATTATTTACCCTATGAGTCTTCCCGCTTGGCAGAGGGAATTCAACAAGTCCTACCACACAGCAAGTCCTGAGCCCCTTCCTAAACTACTATCTACTTGCTCTGGGGTAGACTTTGGTCAGGAAGCCTGTTCAAGGTGCTGTCTTCACCCTTTCATTTCCAGTCCTCCTCAAAAAACATCATAAAGACATACGTTTTCGGAATTGAGGTCCTAGGACTGCATCTATTTATTTATATTCTTGCCCTTCTCACAGAAGCAATATTAAAGCAGCATTGAAAAGAGAAAGCAAATATGGCTGTGCCACTTAGTTTTCCAAGCAGAGCTGCAAACTACATGCATCAAATTTATTTGACAGTACAAAGAAACTATTGCTTCAATAGCGTATTCAGTAAAGTTGTGATTTTGTGTGAATAATGTGAAATCTATAAATATAATTACTTTGTTGGGTTAGCAGATCTTATTTGTGGGGTATTTTATTATGTCACATAGAGGTATGATATAACATAATATGTAAAATAGGTCCTGTGTGTGTGTGTGTGTATACACACATGTTCAGATGGTTAAAGGAAAAAGAATACATAGTATCCATTTGTTTTAAAAGAGCAAGTTTTATCAAGAGCACTACACTACCCATGAATAATTCCAGTGATTTATTTATCTTGGTAATTTATTTCACCCAGGGAGAAGAGGGAGAGATACAAAAGCAGTATGTCATTGGTTTGGATTAAGGTTTACATCTTCTTTTTCTCCCTGAAACCAGTGTTTTGGCCTTCTTGGAGTGAATGGAGCAGGAAAGACCACTATATTCAAGATGCTGACCGGAGACATCATTCCTTCGAGTGGAAACATTCTGATCAGAAATAAGACTGGGTATGAAAAACTAATGCTTCAATTTACCGAGTACAAAGTACTTCAATGAGAAAAATAATTGAAATGAACATTTAATGTTATTTTGTGGTTATAGTATTCAATCCTTAGGGGAGAACAAAGCTATTAAGGTGGGTGGAAATGTTTAAACCTTTAAATGTGAATCTGATAGTGGGATTATTTTATCCCTTTTTATCAAAGTCATTGACCACCATGACCAAAATACAGCTACCTTCCCAGCATTTGGGAACCAGGAGGGATAAATCCTTTGAAATTCATCTGTGTTCTTGATTCTCTCAATTCAGATCTCTGAGTCACGTTGATTCTCACAGCTCATTAGTTGGCTACTGTCCTCAGGAAGATGCGTTAGATGACCTGGTAACTGTGGAAGAACATTTGTATTTCTATGCCAGGGTACATGGAATTCCAGAAAAGGATATTAAAGAAGTGAGTACAAGTGTGAAAAACTACTTAATTTGAAACCATTATTGTTTCTGCTTCTGTCCCCTGCCCCACCGCACCCTACTATCCCCCTGCCCCACCATTTCCCCACAAAACCACCTGGAAAACTATGTCATTTTCCTTCTGGCAGTGGCAATGGCAGCGAGTCCCTCTTAGTTTGGTCATGTGTATTATATATGCACCTATGAAATTAGGTTTAGAAGCTCCTTGGCCCGTGTTTGTTCAGTTACCCTTTTAAGAACCATTAAACAGAGGATCACACTTGCGTTAGGCTCTGGGCTGAGCATTGGCTGGTGATGCCTGTACATCTTGTAGTTTTTGGATGAGCACTGACACAAAGAGTTAACGGCAAAACGCCCAAGTAAAATAGATTAGTTTCCACTTTGGTTTTTAATCTATGGCTTTATATCTCACTGCAACTATTTGCCATTTTAATGAGATGGCTAACCCTTAGGGCAGTTTCTTCTACTTTTGCAATCCTGAGGATCTGTTGTTTAAGTTCAATCAGGATTTCATTATTTGCCAGGACTATTTAACTACAGAAATAACTACAAGAACCCATGATTCCTAATGTGCTAACGTTTTGATACTAGGTCAGTTTTAAATAGACTGAAAGCCTTTATGACAACTCACCCCTCAGTAAGAAGAAAGAGGAAGCAGCGATAACAGTCAGTGAGAATCCTGCCTTGTGAATTCTGTTTTAGCTCTACTAAGCCTTACTAGAGAATCTTGTGGTAATGCAGCAAAAAGTTCAATCTGCAATTGTAAACACACACATACATTTGATGGGGGAGGGAATCCCATCTGAAAATGAACCTCCAAAGAATCTCTTCAAATAAACTATTAATCTTAAAGTGATTCTTTGAAAATAAAAATAAAATCTAGTTGAATTTAAGTGTTTTCATTTTTTTTTCCCAGATATATTCTGCATGATGAAATTTTCTTTTCATGAGCATCTTTTTTTCTATTTAGTGCTTTAAGGGTTTTGGCACAGGAAGGTCAACCTAACTCCTCTTTTATTGCCCACAGACTGTTCATAAACTACTTAGGAGACTTCATCTGATACCCTTCAAGGACAAAACTACCTCCATGTGCAGTTATGGCACAAAAAGAAAATTATCCACTGCACTAGCTTTGATAGGGAAACCTTCCATTCTACTGCTGGTAAGAGAATCATTATTTTAAAAGGCCACTCCATAATTAGAACAGCATATCTGATTGTATATGTTAACATTTCATCATCATGATTGCAGTCAACATTTATGGAGGTCTCACTATGTGTTAGCTATTGTACAAAGCACTTTATGTACACTATCTCAATAAAGGAGTTTATATCAGCAAATAATTTGTTACCACAACAATATGCCCTAGAAAATGTTTTATCTGAAAGCAATGGCTTAGTGCATTTCAGAGGAAACACTGGCATGGAAATGGGAAGTGAAACAAATTCAAGGTGCTCAAGTAAGTTATGGAATATGGTAGAATTTGATTCCCATCTATTGAAGAAATCATCTCTCTTTTTCTGTTAGGAACTGAGTAGGTAAACTCATATTTTCCAGCTTCTACTATGGAGGACAGGCACATTTTAGGACAATGTGTTGTACTAAATTTTATTTCCTTGTTGCTTAAAAATGAGTTATCTAGCTTAGGATGTGATGCATACCATCCTATTTCATCTGAATGGGGGGTGGTGTAGGATGGGGAAGAAACGCATTCCACATTTACATTTTTCTTAAGAGACGGAGAATTTAATTGATCACCTGGAAATAGAAATTACACATAGTAGTAATGTTAATATTTTGCACCTCAAGTCTAACTTTGTAAAAGGGTGTTTATTTCAGAGAAATATACTTGCCCTTATTTTGGAAAATCCCCTTCATTCAAGGACCTCCAAACTCTGAAAGAGCCTTAACTATAAGGAATCATAATACAGTTATAAGTCACCACGTTATTCCAGGGATTAAGTCATACAGTGGATCAAATCATTTAAACTGCCAGATAGAATGATGCACAGCCCATCTTTCTATAATACCAGAAGCTTATAATGCATTATATCTCTGCCAATCGATGCTTATAATGGAATTCTATTGTGTAAATGTTCCTTAAATTGAACAAAACAATCCTTAGGCACGTCTGTGAAATAACAAATGTAAAGTACTTTAAAATGTTAAATGTTTAATGTAAACATTATGTATTAATGAACCAAAATGAAATATTGACTATGAAAAGTACCAAGTTTTCTTCTACATGCATTTACTAAATATGCTATCTTCTTCAAAAATAGGAGCAGTGACAATGTATCCTTTGTTTCCCCAAATTAACACTCATTTCTTTATTTTTTAAAAAATTATTTAACTACTATTTTGACACATAATATTTTATACATATTTATGGAGTATAGTGTGATATTTTGATTCCTGTATACAATATGTAATGATCAAATCAGAGTAATTGGCTTATCTATCACCTCAAATAGGTATCATTTCCTTGTGCTGGGAACATTCAAAATCCTTTCTTCTAACTATTTGAAAATATACAATAAATTATTGTTAACTATAGTAACCCTACAGTGCTATAGACCACTAGAACTTATTCCTCTTGTCTAGCTGAAATTTTGTATTCATTAACCAATCTCTCTCTATCCTCCTCTCCCTGCTATGCCTCCAGCCTCTAGTAACCATTATTCTCCTCTCTACTTCTATGAACTCAACTATATTAGCTTCCACATAACCCATTCCTTTCTTTAGATTTAACACCATGCTGTAAATACAAGCCTCTAGTTATGTACATATGTACATATTTTTTGTTACAAGTATGTTTTTTAAATTTTTACCTAATCTTGACCTGTAATGTGTCAAAATCTGTTATTGTGTGTTTAGATGATCTACTGCTACATAATCTAATTTTATGTCTGAATGATTTTTCATAACATCATTTACTTTGAAAAACAATGTATATCTTTCTACTTGGCAATTTCTACAAATCTTGTTTTTATTTCCTAAGGAGTGTTAAATTTCAATTAATAACAGAAAACTAAAAATATACCTCAAACAAATTTACTGAAATATCAAATTATGTTCTTTCTGCTTCACATAGCATATTATCACTCATAGCCACAATTCTGCTATCGGGACCAAGGTGGTAATCTTGTTGATGTGGCTTATATATGTGGCAAGGTAGAATTAAATATAAGAACTCTACTTTGCCAGTAATGGAAGTGGAATTTTTTTCCAAAGAAACATAAGAGACGGATGTAAAGTAACAGGGTGTCAACTTAACTGAGACACTTTTTAAAACAGATTGACAATTTTAAATGATTAATTTTGAGCTTTTTGACAGCAGCAGAAAGAAGCCTATTAAGTATAAAACAAGTTAGTCACAGGACCTCGAAAAGTGTTTCTGTTCTAGGGAAGTGAAATGCAGTAATTCATGAAAAGAACTTCATCAAAAATTAATTTGATAAATTTTTCTTGTAACTTTCTATTAAGGATGAGCCAAGCTCTGGGATGGATCCGAAGTCGAAACGGCACCTCTGGAAGATCATTTCGGAAGAAGTACAGAACAAATGCTCCGTCATCCTCACATCTCACAGGTAAACTGAGTGAAATCTTTAAAGTGAATCCACACAATCTTAGGATGATAGATGGGCAAAGGTAATCCTGTATAACATATATATATATATATTTATATATATTTTTTATATATAATTATTTATATATGTGTTATATATAACGTATATGTATAATATATGTACATATGTTATATATACATATATGTATATATGTGTTATACAGGATTACCTATATATATGTTATATATACACACACACACACACACACACACATATATATAGACGACAAATGCCCACAGTTGAATCAAACTATTTTATGTTTATAGTAGTAGGAGCAAGTCAGGCAGGTTTCATGGTGAGAATATAGTTCCTGTGGTGGGACAGAGTCTAAGGTCTAAGCAATCTTTTCAACATCGAATTTCTCATAACTTATGGCCTTCTTAACTCATCTGTGGCTCTCTATTGCCTGTCAAATAAAGTTCAGAATCCTTAGGCTCAACATGCAAGACTCTCCATTCTATGGCCTTATCTAAATGCTCAGTCTTTTTACCCTGCAACACCGTCTTCTATTAGTCAATCTGAATGACTCCTGGTTCTACATTCTTCCCATCTCCATACCCTTTCCCATCTCCAAGCCCCATCTTTGGCTGTGCTTTCAACTTGAATTTTTTTTTTTTTTTTTGAGAGGGTCTCACTCTGTCACCCAGGCTGGAGTGCAGTGGCACAACAACTGCTCACCGCAACCTCCGCCTCCCGGGTTCAAGCAGTTCTCCTGCCTCAGCCTCTCAAGTAGCTGGGACTACAGGCGCCCACCACCACGCCCAGCTAATTTTTGTATTTTTAGTAAAGGCAGGGTTTCAGCATGTTGGCCAGGCTGGTCTCAAACTCCTGACCTCAAATGATCCACCCACCTTGGCCTCCCAAAATGCTGGGATTACAGGCGTAAGCCACTACACCTGGCCTGAAATGGTCTTTTCACAAAATCTCTCCAAGTTCTAATCTTACCAGTCCTTCCAGAACCAGCTCACATGCCTCTCCTCCACAAAGCAGACACTTCCAATCAGCGAAGTATAAGAGACACTAAATCATTTTATCCGTGCCTCTCTTATGAGGATGGCCTTGTCTTACAATTTGTATTAAGTTTATGTTTGCATTATAATTGTCATATAGGAGAAAAAGTATTAGATTTGCTTATTATCAAGAGACTTGTTTATATCATAGTTTGCCCCAGCACAGTGGAGCCAATCATTTAATTTCCATTGGCAATTAAATGACGTCGACAGGGTAATACCTAAAATTACCTCCAATTATCATAGACCATGAAATTAGAGACTGTATAATCAAGTACAGGCTAACTAGTTATAAATCCAAAAATAGGAAAGCCAACAGAATATGGGGTACGTGGCATAATGGAAAAAAGTGTTATTTTGAAAACATTTCTGAGGAAGTGTAGGTCTTGAATCAAAGCTTGAAAGAAATCGTAGGTTTGATTTGGGGGGTATTCCAGGTGAGAGAGAGAAGGTCTTGAGTTTTAGAAGAAACAGTAATAAACCCTATCTGAAGACATTTAATTTATATTTTAAAAGGTTGGTTTTTATTCTCCTTTAAAAGAACTAAAAACTAAAAGAGAATCAAGAAACTAGGCCAGGTACGGTGGCTCATGCCTGTAATCCCTGGACTTTGTGGGGGGCCGAGGCAGGAGGATCACTTGAGCCCAGGAGTTCAAGACCCAGCCTGAGCAACATGGCAAGACCCCCATGTCTACAAAAAAAATTTAAAATTAAAATATTAGCCAGACATGGTGGTGCACGTCTGTTGTCCCAGCTACTCAGGAAGCTGAGACAGGAGGATTACTGGAGTAAAGGAGGTCAAGGCTACAGTGAGCCACGTTCAAGTCACTGCACTCTAGCCTGGGCAACAGAGTGACACCCTATCTCAAAAAAAAAAAAAAAAAAAAATACTAAAATAGTATTTCCAAGTGCCATAATGAAACAATTATGCTTATGCTCATGAACTTCAACCCAAGTTTTCTGTGTCCTGAATGCTAATATGATCCTGCTTTGTCTTTTAGCATGGAAGAATGTGAAGCTCTCTGTACCAGGTTGGCCATTATGGTGAATGGAAAGTTCCAATGTATTGGATCTTTGCAGCACATAAAGAGCAGGTGAAGAACAAATGCATTGTC